AAAAAAAAAAAAAAAAAAAAAAAAAGAATTATGATGCCATCAAATGTGTAAAATAATACCCAGTAACTGATGTTTAATTATTCAAAGGGGATTTGACTGGTTTTGAACTTTCTGGGTATGTTATAGTTCTTGAAGTTGCGACATGTACCCTCCTCTGTGGGTTTTTTTAATTTAAATTAATACTTTCTTTATGTAATACAGCAGTTTGTCTAAGCTCATGCTAGATTTCTGTTTTCACAATTAAAATCTAGTCTTTGACTCAAGTTGTGAATTGGATTTGATTAAATGATAGGCTTAGGCTGTTTAACTGGGACATAGAAAATAGTATTAATTACTATTAGTGTATATTGATAGTGTTGAAATTAGATAAACAAGCTTTCATTGTTGAATTAATGTACTTGCTGACTGGTGTTCATTTTTTTTTTCCACAAATAATATATTGTTAGTGTCCAATATTTCTCCTAGTTGCTTCATCACGATTGTTGATGGTATTCTTAATGAAATTACCAGGCAGAATATTGGACAGTAATAAATGTGGAGTTTTTTTTCTGTCTTTAAATATAAAATGAGCTGGACTGTATTGTTGTTTGTTTTTTTTTCTTATCATTTTTGGGAAGTAAATTCAGTATATACTTTCAGAAATTGTTTGGGACCAGTTAACATGGAATCGAATCTGATCTTATCCGTCCGCGCGGAGCCGGAATGTGAACCAACTGGTCTGAAATAGAGTCATAATCAGAATTTCTGTTGTTTTTTAACATAGTTTTTAGAATTGAAATGTATTAAGTTTGCTATATATATTATTTTTCTGTGCATTTTGAACACCTAAAGAGCCACACATGGTAAAGTAAGTGTTGCGCTGATGAGTGCACTTTACCAACTGTAGTGCTTCTATTTTATAGTGAGGTTAAAAAATGTTCTAGTTCACTTGTTATGGTCAGTTAAATACTAATCTATAGCAAATAACATTTTGGAAATTTATTTATAAGTCCTTCTCAGATTATGAGAAAAGTCCTAAGTATGAGTGGCATTTTGGGGTCCTGTTTGACTATTTTGTTAAGAACACTGTTTATTAATATCCAACTTTGAACATTTTGATTTTGTAGTCACTAACTGAAAGATTTGTGGTGTTTGTGTGATTCATTGGATGAGTTTTTGTTAAGTTTGCTTTGAATTGCAAGCCAGTTCTCTAAGCAACATCTGTTTATACATATGTCATGCTCGACGGTACTTCACCCTCTTAATGGTTCAGGGTTGGATCACGGCAGGCATGGGTATCCGTGTGATGTATGCTGAGCTCTTCAGTAAGTAACACAAATGAAGGTGAACCTGTTAAATAAAAAAACATTAGTTACTCTGTTAATAAACAAGTTTTTATTCTTGTTTATTCTCACTCAAACTCGATATAGTTCTAAGAATGTTTGTTTTTATATGAAAAAAAAAAAACATAAATATTATTCGAATCGAAACTTTTCATTCCTGCTTCATAATTGTGTTGCCACAGTGACCCCTAAAATATGCTAGAACTGCCATCTGTAAAATAAATCTTAAATGAGACATACTTTTTCCCCATATCTGGAAAGTTAGTTTTGAAAATTTCACATGATTCCATATTAAAAAAAACATGGAAAAAAAATGTAATGCTTTGGCTGTTTTGGAATAATAAGCCTGACTTTGTAGCTCAACTTTTTTCTTAAAACATAAGATCTGTTGCTTACATTTTCTTATAGTTTTGTTTGTTTCTCATGATATTTTTATGATTGAACAAAGCTGTAGACACCATTTCATTTGAACGTGATGATTAGACTTGGTAAATTATGTCCAGTTAGAATTAACTGGATGTTTTAAGATTTTGGAATTGAGAGCAAATCGAATACAAAAGTCGATGAGAAGTTTTTCTATACTGATTGGAGTTTTGGTATACACAAACAGAACGTTAATGTGGTTTTCAATATGTTCAAGTTATTCCTTGGCAAAGTTATGATGATATGATCTAGCCAGCTTTATAAAGAACCTGTGTGCTAGAATTTTAGGGTTTTATCATTTTTTGTTGGTTTAATTTTAAAATAAGTTATTAATACAAGAATTTTTTTTGAAGTTTCTAACAGTACTCTCAGGTAATAGGGTCCATTACATTAAACTTATCAAAATATTTCCATACAGAATCACTATTAGTACTTTATCAGTGAAACAAATATTTCATCATCTTTTTCTACATCATCTTTTTTGCCATTTTTGTAAAGAGCATCATCTCTCACTTTTATATCTTAAGATATGTATAATATTGAACAAGAATTATTAAAATTGTGGCTTTTTAGTTTCTTAACTGGAAAATTGATAAACATTTGACCTTTAGCTTCCAAGTTTTTAACATGTAGACAAAAAGGAACCATTTGGTCTTTCAAGGCTGTTTGCTCACACACCTTTGACTAAAACAAATAAACCCACTCTTTATCTTTTAAGCTAGTGTGAAATGCCAACCTCCACTATTGCTGATTATTCCAAAAGTCAATAATAAAAATGGTTACAAAATGTTTATCTTTTTCACAATTTACTACTGTCTTAGTTAACCAGCAAATTCATCTATACCTAGAGGTTTTTGTTGGTCTTTCTACAGTCTAATAGGGAACGTACTTCGATTTTTAAGCCTTTACAGCAGATATATGAAATAATTCAGAAACAGTTTTTGTTTTTCTTAAATTATCAAAATGTTGTATGTATTTTACGAGCATTAATTTTTTTATTCCAAATGCCATTTTCAACATGTTTTACTTACTACCTCTGTACATTTTAAATAAGCTTGTATGGTATGGAGAAATATGAGAAGTGTGAAAAATATTTGAAATATTTCCATGACTATTACTGAATAGAATGAAGGTAGGACCTAGGAAGTCCTGTTTTGTTCTTTCAATATCTACCTGTAGTTTCAGTGAAGGTAATCATAAGGACAAAATGATGTTGATGTAACTCTTTTATTATAACACAGCAGGAGCAGAATTGGTCGTAAATCTGATATTACATAAGACTAATATTTTAATTCCATATTTGTTTTACTGGAACATGTTTTCAGTAAGAAGAGTGTATGATAACATTGCCTTCTCTGCACTACTACTAATAAAATCTTTTGTTATGAACCAGAACTCGTTGGCTCATCTGGGTTAGAGTTTACTAAGCTATTGGTGAAATACCACCTGTATCCGTCATTTCGTACATGCACCAAGTTAATTTATTGCACCTATAGTTAGAATGGGTAATTATATGAAATAATAAATTGAAGTAGATTATTTTATATTTAACATTTTGTGTAGAACCTGTATTTTGGGAACTTTTAGAAGTAGATGTATTCTGCAAGATTTGAGAGCGAAGTGACAAGTTTCAGGAAGTTCTTCACTACGTTGCTTATTAAATCCAACTTATTTATTACATTGTCAAGTCTGTTACAGTTTAAAATCACCAGAGGAAGGGCGTCCCAGCCCGAAATATTGTGAATATTAAAACATCTGTTTCGCATTTAGCCATTTTTCACGATATAAGTTTTTTTCCATTTTTTTTGTTTTCGGTTTCATCGTACCACAGCAGTTTTTTTAGCTGTTTTATGAGTGTTTGTGGTATTAAAATTTGATTTTCTGCTTGTCAATTCCCTTTCTCAATTTGAAAGCTTCTGCTCTAAAAGATAATGTATCTTATATTTCTACTGTTGCAATTTGGTATTGTAGTGTGTCGTTAAGAATACGGAAAAAGCTATTTTCATTGGGCTTTACAAATCCGCCGTTCTTATGGGAATATAAACTTAATTTCTTGGTTAGTTCATATTCATGTCAGTATGATCAAGATGTTTTCAATGCTTATGCAACAGACTGGTTATCGTATCAACGTAAACTTATTCGCAGTCTAATCAGATCCCACTGGAACAGGCCCAACCCTACCTCCGTTTCAGTCTTTTCAATCTGAAATCTAGTTCCTGATTCTATTGTTAACAGACTTGAGCTTTCCCTCTTTGATTTGTTTTATTATTTTGTAAAACATATCTTGGTGGACTTCCATAATCATTTCACAAAATCCTTATAACCAAATGTTGGGTGTCCTCTCTCTCTCTCTCTCTGTATATATATATACGTATAACAGAAGCATTGGTGTGTGCAGTATAAAGTCTTGGCTTTATTAAAATATCTTTGCCTGCCATCTACATAAACATGTTTGTAAAGTATTCCCGTGTTGAGAAAGGGTTAGCTTTCCTTTAAGTTTGACCATTTTCTGGCTGTTTTGTTGTCGAACTATGAAGCATTTATAAATTATCAAATGAACCATATTTTGATTAATTCCTCAAAATGTTATACTTTTTTAAGTTCTTATTAGCATTAGTTTTTCATTCTCTCTCAGTATTTTACTGTCAGAAAAAGAAATGTTTAAAAATAATACGATAATTAAATCTTAAAATACAATGTTACAACATATGTGTTTCTTGCCAGTATAGCAATAGCTACATATGATTTTGCAATTTTTAAAGAAAATTGCTGGTTTACGATTTTGTTGTTTTCAGGGATCATGTGGAAATCTGTTGTATTTTATTATACATAGTTCCAACCATTTCACAACCAATTTAAAAAAAAAAAGCACGTGTAAATGTTTATATCTATTTCTAAGATAGAAATATTTTTTACCTTCATTAAGAAATATCTTAATGAAGAAATTATATGCTTGTATTCAAGTTTTGGGTGAATTTGGCCTGATATTAGTTAATAGAATATTTTGTAATTGCTGTGCAAAATATAATAAACATTGTTTGAAAAGTGATATTTGCAATATGTGTATATACTGAGTTGACCGGGACAGCTTGCAATTCAAGTATTCAATAGTGCAATTCTTCTGAAGTGTAGTCTGAGATTAAGCAGGATTCAAACCATGATTCTGCTTACATGGAAGGTGCTTTAGCCAACTATACCCACATTTTGAAAGGTAGAAAATTCAGTATTTACTTCATTGGTCCTTGATAACCACCTGCACGTTAAATTGACTCACAGGCTCAAATCTTGCCCCCCCCCCCCCATCTCAATTTTAACTCAATTTCACAAGATGGGGAATCACTTTTAGATAAAACTCTAATGTAAATTCTATGGTGTAGAAGTAACGTATCAACTAATTTTTGGAATTTTGAAAGTTTACTCTTTAAGCAGTTATGTGTTTTACCCATTGCTACTTGCTAAATGAATGAGAAAACTAGAGTTTCTTAAACATTTGTTGTTGTTAAAGTCAACATAAACATATCATTTATAGTCTTTAATTAATTTCTATATTTCGAGAAGTATAAGAAAATCCCGAAGACCATGTGCTATAAATCTCGGAGCAATGACATGAAAATCAAGCTTGTTGATCACCTCATAACCTCTGACCTCACAATTAACTATATTGATCAGTGGGATAGCCCTCGTTTACAGTCTGTTTTTTTTTTCTATGAATGCATAGACAGTGAAAAAAATAACACAAAATACCAGACTAGCATTAGGGGGTAATGGAAAGGAACTTGGTAAGAAAACACCCCCCCTCCCCACCTCCATTGACAGGTTTGTGAATCTTGTTGGTTCTATTTTCTGTGCTTTTGAACTAACGTGGGTAGTGATTTAGCAGAAAGGTTTTAAAATTTCATGCTTCATATAGGGTAGACTACTTTAGTAATTTGAAGTCGTATCTCAATAAACTTTCCAACAGACAGTATCTCGCTCCACAAAATTAAATTTAAATTGTTTGAAATGAAAAGGATGTGATGTGTACGTATAATTTCCATTCATATTATTTAAATGAAGCTTATAAAACGTAAATGTATTTCTTCCTGCGAATATTTTTGTATCACTAACTAGAGGGCGTCAGCAGCGGTAACAGTCCAAGAGTGGTTGGTTAGAGAAAGACAGCTGTTAGTCTCATTATTTTTAATTTCCGTTCATATTATTTAGATGAAGCTTATAAAACGTAAATGTATTTCCTCCTGCGAATATTTTTATATCGCTAACTAGAGGGCGTCAGCAGCGGTAACAGTCCAAGAGTTACCGGTAGGTTAGAGAATAACAGCTGTCAGTCTCATTACAGTGTATTCCAAAACAATTAACATAACTTATCTTAGATTCTTCGGTAATATTCTAAACTATTTTCTATGTACATAATGTTTACATTTCTTAATGGAATTCAAAGTAGTTTTCATTTAAAACTATAAATCTGACTATTCCGCACATATTCTAAGAATGATAATTAAACAATGATTCTAACGAACCACTGAAATTAATGTTGCATATCTGCTCGTTTGTTAATTTCCAAGGAACTTCGGCGATACAAGTCCTTTATTAATTAAAACTGTTTATTCTTTCTTGGTACAAATTTTAGTAATACACAAAATTTCCACAGTCACTTTAAACTTAACAACCTTTATAACACGCTATAAATCACAGTGGTTCACACACTTTACTTACGGTGCCTACTGTTCGCTTGACTCAATTATCTATCTATCTTTGCAGTTCTATCCCTTTTCGCTGGCTTTATTTGCCGGACTTATATAGTAAAAAAAGAGGGCGCTTGGAACAAACTAGAGTTGTCAGGAAAATTCATGATCCTTGGAGAAACTCCAGCGCGCATGCTCCCAGCGTTGCGTGACTTCCGTTGTTGTAACACTAACATAAAAATAAGACAGTGATTTATTTCTGTCGTATTGTCTAGTCAAAGAAAAGTAAACTGCCATGTCTTCAAATAAATAATCAGTAAAAATATTTCTACTATGGCTTCATAATTATATCTTAGTTTAAAAGATAGGAGCATCATACACACATTACATTTGAACTGCTTGTTGGAGGGCCTGGTCGGTAAATTCAAAGATTCGTGGCTTGCGAACCATTGCCGCAATGAAAACTGCACATCAGCGATGTAAGTGCGTTTTAAGAATGATCGTCATATCTGGTACATCACAACAATTAGAGAGAACAGGGGACCTGTTGGGTCATTTACAGACAACAAGGGAACTATCGATTAAGTTAGGCTGTTGTATCCTGTAAACTATATATATTAGATTATTTGTCAAGCTTTACCTTAAATTTACTGCTTCCAACACATATGAAAGCAACCAATTCCAAAGGACAACCATCCATTTAGACAAATGAAATTGTTAACTGAAGGTGACCCCTATCCCTACCAGTTTCACCATTAGGTACGAAAAAAGATTGTGTATAAACACAATCAGTTCCCTTAACAATCTTATATACTTCAATCAGATCACTTCTAACTCGTTTTTCAAGAGAAAACAATTTCAGAGTTCTTAACCTGTCCTCGTATGACAACCCAAACTTTCGATCTTAGTAACTCTCCTCAGAACCCTTTCCAACATTATAATATCCTTCCTAAGCCAAGGAGTCCAAAACTGAACACAATACTCCAAGTGTGGCCTAATGCAATTACTTGTACAATAAAAATATACTACCCCGATAAGACAACTGTAGCCCAAAAGTTGGCGGTAGGTGCCGTTGACTAGCTGCTTTCCCTCTAGTTTATTAGGTCAAATGGGAAAGCAATGCACAAGTAGGCCTCATGTAGCTTTTTTTGATATTGTAAAACAAACAATGCTTACTGAAAGTTGATCATATTTTAGTACCAACAGAAACCCGTAAATATTTGCGGTCAAATTATATCTATTGCAACAGTACTTCTTTAAATACAGGATTTCTAGAATAATACAAAATAATTAATTCTAATCGCAGACGCCACTACTTTATATTCTATTTTGCATCGAAATCTATAAACATACTTGTCTTAGGCCTAACATTAGTTAAGCCTTTATTAAGTACGGTCTATATTCAATAGAGATAAATTAACACTATAACTTGTGTAAGTTTTTGCTTTAGTTCAGTTAGGGTTAAACTTTACCGTACTTAATACCATCAACGAATAAACTTATAATCTTAGACCTTTTGAAAACTTTGATAAGATTTAAATATGTTGTGCAGAATTTATTTACATCTGTTTTGTTTACATCCGTTGAAATGAAGTGCGCGCACATTTTCAGGACAGACAAAACCGGGTATTATTATAATAGATGCTTTAACTGCAAATATCACTTTTATTATAATTACCAAGATCTAAAAAATAGGGTTTCAGTTCACAAACACTAGAGTGCGTCCAATTAATGACATTTTGGCCTTTTTATAGACTAAGTTGCGCATAAGCATAAATGAATGAGAAACAGAGAAAAAAACGGTAATTGTAATAGTTCAAGTTACAATGCTATTTCCAATAACACCATTGTTGTTCTCGCTTCACGCATTTAATACAACTTTCTATTAGCTTAAATTAATCTACTTTAATAAATTAGCCTAAGCCCAGTTATGACCTAAATATGATAGTCAATACACCAAATTATATGCATTAAATATGTTGAATGTAATAACGCCAATGGGGTGTTATAATATGAAGGTCAAGCCCTCTTTTAATTTTTTACAAGAGTGTCCACAAAGTTGGCGGTGGGTGGTATTAACTCGTTGCCTTCCTTCTGTGCTATTATTTCTGAATTAGAAACGGCTAGTGAAAATAGCCCTCGAGTAGCTTTCTGCGAAATTATTCAGAACGAACGAGCATTGCATACTCTAGAGAACAACCACAATGTTGACTATAAGAATATACAACACTAAAAAAAGAAAACAATTATAAAAGATGATGTAATAGCAGCACATGGATATAGTTTTCCACAGTTAACCAAACAGTGGTTACTTTTTACACTTAAACTGGCTACCACTGAAAGAAACCAAACCATTAATCTTATTATAATGGAGCTTGTGATGTATACGTCCAAAACTCGGATCTCGGAAACTACCGCACTGATCATCACCAATGATAACTGGGTAATATTTTTATAACTAGGCAGTATTTTTTAGCTGAGCAATATATATATATATATATATATATATAACTATTGAAATTTCCATAAAAATATGTTTCAGATTTAATCAATGAAAAATTACAAACAAAAAGGAGTAAGTTTCAAATATAAAACAATCAAAAAAACAAACTTAAAAAAAATCGTTTGTTTTTTCTTTAGTGAAAATCTCATGAGTGTTGCAACAGAAAAGCAAGGCACTTTTATTGATAATTGCGTCTTCAAAGAAATGCTTCAATAAAATCTACTCTATGATGATAGCTCATTTTGAAACTAAAATTTCAATAAAATCCTTTTTCTCATGAATGGTGAACATTACTGAATGTCAAGTATGAGTACATTGTTGTGGAACTGTCAGACAATTCCAGAAAAGGCCGCAGGCCCAATAGCCTTTCTCAGGAACTAGTAGTTATACCTGCCCAGAGGGCGTTTATTTCTGCTAGTTGTTAAAAACTTCTTTATCGTTTTTGTCATTCTATCCTGCTGCTAATAAATTTAATATATACACCTGGAAAAAAGTTAAGCACCCCCGTGTTTTTTTCAAGTGATTCAGATTCGACGTTCTTGTGACTGATTATAAATTACCATTCAATCTAAACGTGTTTATCAAATGAAATTATGCATTATTGGGCACAAGAAAGCAAGATTATCACCGTAAAATAACAATTTTTAATTTACATATCATGACATCAAAATATGGACAGTTTTCACGATTAAAACTATCTTTAATAAGTATTGTCAGTGAAAGCTCAAAAACGTTATTGAATTGTCAAATCACATTACAAAATGTCAATCATGACCCACACATTGATAATTAGTCATCGAAAAGTCAATATCGGGTATATCCACCGTTTGCCTGGATGACTGCTGCAACCCTGCGCCGCATACT